TCCGAGCTGATCATGTCCCAGGCCCTCAGCGTTCGGGGCCACATCGTGAGTAGGGACTGTCGTTGGGAGTGTACTCTGGGCAGGGACCATATCCTGTTGCACAGCTGGGGGACAAACGAACATGGAAGGGCATAAAACATGGTGTTGTGGCTGTGTGCAAGCGGCTGGACTGTCTGCAGGAGGCATAGGAGCGGATGTATCCGTTTGGGACAACGGAACCGCAACAACCCGTGGAGGAGGCACAAAGAGAATTGGGGTAGACAAAGAAGCAGGTCGCTGATCCCTGGCCAAGTGGCGATGTTGTGCATGTCGTCGACGATGATACACAATAAGAGGAGTGGCGGTGTTTCATTGGCAATGAAGGCGGAACAATGGGAAGAATAGAAACCGGAGAATCGGTTCTCAAACGAGACCGTGGCGAGGAGGAACGCAGCCGTCTGCGGCCAAGCACAGAAAGGGGGGTGGATTCGGCAAGATGTCGGAACATAGGACGCGAGTGTCGGGCTGGGGTAGAGGAAGCTATACCAGTAAAAACTATAGCATGAGAAATTCGAGGTACAGAAGCAGAGGAAGTGGTAAAAAGTGGAACCGCAGCATAGACAAGTGTTGTAGTAGGAACCGCAGCAGAGGCAACTTCCGTAGCAGGGACCGCAGCGGAGGCAACTTCCGTAGCCCGGAGTTGAAACAGCAGCAGTAGAAACTGCAGCAGTGGAGACCACAGCGGCAGCAGCAGTAGAAACTGCAGCAGTGGAGACCACAGCGGCAGCAGCAGTAGAAACNGTAGAAACTGCAGCAGTGGAGACCACAGCGGTGGAAGCGGCGGCGGTGGGAACCGCAACAGTGGGAACTACATTAGCAGCAGATGAACAAGCAGTATATATCCTACCTCCAAAGCCTCCAATCTATATAATGGTTGACATCACTGCCAACAATTTGGACAAGATTATTATAAAAAAAAAAAGATGATCAATTTTTGTCTCCTCACAGCTAAGGCAGTAAGCTGGGGATGTAAAATAGTGGGATGGTGTATCAACCATCATGCAGTAAAAAATGTTGCGCTGGCGGTTCAACAAAACTTGGCGCTCAGGGCGTCTTTAGGCTCGGCATCAATTGCTGGGTGAAGTACTGGTGGTTTTTAAGGTTATACCACCAGGCCCAGCTATTGATGCCGGAGTGTAGTGGCCCGTATGTTTCCTAAAACCGTGGATTGTATACGGGCACGGCTTTAGGAAGTACTGGTGGGGTTTAAGTTCCTCAGATCGTTGTACCAGCCTTGCTGGCATGTGCCTGAACGTCTTCCTGATCACGGTTCCTGGGCGTGCACCTAGTCATCTCAACAGGAGTACCATCTCTTCACCCAAATAGAACACCCGGTCACTATAATTGCATCTGGACAGAAAGTTGGCCCCAGTACAGCTGTAATGACCGGCCGTTTTATTCGGTTGAAGGCGATAGCCTGTGGTTTTCCAAGCTCATCTGGGGGACATGCTTCCATGCTCCAGTGAACCTTTTCCAGAACCTTCTTCTTCCCAGTGGTTTAAACCACCAGTACTTGGCCCAGCTATCGGCCGCGGAGAAAAATAGAGCAAAAACATTTCTAGTTGGATGAATTTGGGCGCTCCTGTAGTGGCCCGTACGTTTCCTAAAATCGTGGCTTGTTAACGGGCACTACTTTGGGAAGTACTGGTGGTTTAAAGCACCAGTAGATTAAAGCACCAGTACATGGGCACCTGGGCCGCGGGACTGACACCTCAAATTCTGGAGGCGCGAAATGAAAACGCGACGGCCGATCGAATTTGTCAAGGGCTGGCCCAGCGTTTGACATTTCGGCCTCTCGTTTTTTTCTCGTGGCAACAAGTTTCGGATTGCAAGGCTGGGGCCGTGTACTACCATCTTCACCCGAATAGAACGCCTGGTTATTATGGTTGTATTTGGGCCAACTTTCAGACCAGATGCAGCGACAATGACCGGCCGTTTTATTTGGGTGAAGACGGTAGTGGTTAACGCTTGCTGCTGTCCAGAACGGCTAAGCGTCAGAGATTTTTCCTAGAGGGCTGCCACCGCCTGCCAGCCTGACATGCATACCAAAAGCCTACTGGCTCAGAGCATACGCATACTAGACTTTCTTGGATGTACCTGGCTGCAACTACGACCAAATGACAAATGTATGTGACTGCAATCACAGCTAGAGCAGAGTAGAAAAAGACCTATAGCATGAGTATGCCCTCACATTGAGGCCTACTGGCTCAGAGCATACGCATACTAAGACTTTCTTGGATGTACCTGGCTGCAACCACGACCAACGACAAATGTATCTGACTGCAATCAAGGCCAGAGCAGAGTAGAAAAAGACCTAGTGAGAGTATGCCCTCACACCGAGGCCTGCATCTGACTGCAATCAAGGCCAGAGAAGAGTAGAAAAAGACCTAGCGAGAGTATGCCCTCACACCGAGTCCTACTGGTGTGACATCCGCTGGAATCACATCTTACACACCCTCACAGCCTACCGGTTTCACCCGAATAGAACGCCCAGTCATTATCGCCGTCCGTATTTGCGGCACCTTCCTGTAGATATACAACCAAGCGGCAATGTGGGTGGTGATTCTGCAACTTATGTCCCATGGTACCCCTGAGTTGGGCCCAATGGAATTGACTGCGCCCAATGGAGATTCCTGGGCCCATGGGGAGAGAGGGACGCATGGTCGATATTATTACTCACCATCCCTAGAGAGAGATTAACAGAGTGTCATTCCCTCCATCGGCCTATGGGGCCCAAGTGCTACATGGGCCCACATGGGCCCTCTACTTCATGGGGTTCTGTACTCCCAGGACGGCTTTTCTGGGACTATCGAGGAACCATGAGGTCTACAGACACTTAAATCCATGGGCCCCATGGGCCTGTGCACCCTTTTGCCTCATGGGCCCATGGGCACATGGAGGCTTGTGCTTTGTGGGCCCCTGAGCATATAGGGTCCTATACTCCACAGCTCTACCAAGGCCCCTTCCTCAATAAGCCCATGGGATGACGAGGGGGATCTGTTGCTGTCCCATACCCTCTTGTATTGCACGATTGGCAGCCACCCTGCATCAGGAGAAGGGGAAAAAAAAGGAAAAACAATGACGTAGCGAGCACGACTTACTTGGAGACGCCATACATGCTGTTCGGCCATCCTTCCTCAGAATGCACTCCCTTTCTTATCTGCAAAGGAAATGGGAAAAAAAAAAAAAAGAGAGGAAATGGAAACAGAAATTTAATTATCCAATCAGGCATCCCATTTTTTAATCTACAAGGTTGTCATTGGAGTCCATGACCACGGGGCCGGGTCCCACTAGCAAAGAGGATAAGATCAAGCTCCTGAATCTGGATGTGTTTTATGCAGAGATGCAGAAAAGCAGTTCCGCCTGGATTTCCTGCACCTCTCCACAAACACGTCCAGATTCAGGCATTCTATCCGATCCTCTTTGCTAGTGGGACCACGCCCCGGAGCTCATAAAGGACCCTGAACTCTCATGATTATACAGGCTTGGGCCCAGAAAAATAAAAAGGCAAAAAGGGAAAGAAAAAAATGTCAAAAAAAAATAAAATTTTGAAAAAAAAGAGAAACAATAAAATTATTAAACTATCATATATTAATAATATCATTATTATTATTATTATTATTATTTTAAGGTGTCAAACAACAGCTGAATTCCAGACAAAACTGTCCGGCACACAGACGAGAGCCCCATGATTTTTTTTATTATTATTCTTTTTTTTTTCAACAGAAGGGCGACAGCGAAGGCCTTCAGATCCAATCATTGAACTGACCGGCCCCAGGTAATCCAGATTATGATTTTACTATTTTAGTCTCCTCATCTGAAAGTATGTATAGATTCGAACTTGAGCCTGTATTTCAACAACAGTTCAGCGGTGCACCAACTGAGCTAGGCCCGTTGGTCCGTGAATCAACTTACGTCCTCCTCCAGGTAGGATAAGGATCCAACATCTGTCTGAGTTTCTCTGATCCGAGTCCAAAAAAAAAGAAAGGTAAAAACAAAAAATAAAAGGATCCAACATCTGTCTGAAGTTCTCATCGAGTCCGCAGTTACATCTCCCAAATGTTTGAGTCTTTGAACGCAACTAAATAGGGCCTCTCTCTAATCACCACCTGCACAAAAAACAACAGATGCAGCAGTGTATCTTACTATCTTCCGGCAGAAGATTCATTCTCGTCTTGCGCATTTGGTGAGTAGTGGAGCGAAGCCTATAAGGCCATGGTGCATGTAGTATCCACTCACATCAAATTATACCACCCTATGGGAGGGGAGAAGGCCTGACAGGGGATGTAGGATAGGTGGGAGGTGGTCATCAGTGACTACCAAGCTTGAAATACCACTCATTCATCTAAGGGTGTCTAACTGCCAAAACAATTGGTTTGGTAGAACTTTGCATGGTGGGTAGTTTATCTGGAGCGGATGCCTTATCTGGGGAGAAGGCCTGACAGGGGAGGTGGGGGAGGGGGAGAAGGCCTGACAGGGGAGGAGGGGTGGGAGAATAATATAGCGAGGATGGTAAAGAGGCCTAGGCGGAGGGATATGGGGGAGCTGCATGGAAATAAGGTGGGAGAAAAGGGGAAGAAGGAGGAGGCTGCAGAGGGACAGGGGGGGGGGGGGGGGGGGGGGGGGGGGGGGGGGGGGGAGAGAGAGAGAGAGAGAGAGAGAGAGAGAGAGAGAGAGAGAGAGAGAGAGCTGACTCAGTGTGGTGTGTGTAGGGGGGGGGGGGGGAAGGAGCAGGTGTGTGCTGCGAGCGTAACCGCAACCGGAAACCGCTTGCGGAAAAAAGAAAAGAAATCATGCCCACTCCACCACAGAGGAGGATGTTACTGATCCAAACGGAGGAGGAGTTTGCCCACTATGTCCAAAAAGGGACCTTGTTCTTAATCTCCTTGGTCCCAAAAAGTGATCAGGGTCTTAATCTCTCAGGTCCCAAAAAGAATCCATCCGTTCAATCTCTGTGGTCCCAAAAGAGACCAGAGAAGAGTCACGCCCGACGTCCACTTCCGCACCGCACCGCAATATTAACACCTAAGCGAAAACCACCCTCAAGTCAATTAAATTGACTTAACCATAATGAAAATGCATTTTTAAGTTTTCTTATCCTTTCCCCATTGAGTTCCCTTCCTACCCCCTCATTCTGACTTCTTTTCCGGTTTTGTTATTCAAATTTCAAAGCTTGTTGTTTTGTTTCCCTCATGCAGCACAGTTTCACACCCAGCCATGGACTTCAAGGCAAAAAAGGAACCATTCCCAACAAACCAGCAATGCATTTGGTCCAATAAGCAGCAAGGAGAGAGAGAGAGAGAGAGAGAGAGAGAGAGAGAGA